ATTGTGAGATATCCATATAAAAGTTCTTTTGAAGAAGACATGCTTATGTGTTCATCGCTGCTTACAAACACTACCGGGGAAGAAATTTTTAATAAAATAAATATATTTTTTGAAGAACATAATCTCAGTTGGAACAATTGCATTGACATTTGTACAGATGGGGCCAAGGCGATGACAGGTAAAACAGCAGGAGCAGTGTCACGAATGAAAAATAAAGCGCCTAATTGTAGTTCCAGTCATTGTATTCTGCATAGACAAGCACTTGCGATGAAGCAAATGCCGTCTAATCTAAAATTAGTTATGGATGAAGCGGTAAAAATAATTAATTTTATCAAATCACGACCACTACAATCCCGATTGTTCTCATTATTGTGTGAAGATTATGGCAGCAAACATAAAACACTGCTGCTCCATACAGAAGTGCGATGGCTGTCTCGGGGAAAAACTTTAACAAGGCTATTTGAACTTAGAGCCGAGTTACAAATGTTTCTTTCAGCAGATACTTCTTTTAATTTGAAGGACCGTTTGTATGATAAAACTTGGTTGTTCCGATTGTCTTTTATGGCGGATATCTTTCAAAAACTTAACGAATTAAATTTATCATTGCAAGGTAAACAGACAACAGTGTTTCAGGCCTATAATAAAATAACTACTTTTAAAAGAAAATTAGATTTTTGGATCATTTGCATTGGTAAGAAAGAAATAGAAAGTTTTACGTTACTCACTGAGTTTGTTAGCGAAAACGACTCAGAAATGTTTGAAGATAATGTGTTTGAAGAATTGGTCCAATATCTCAGTTCGATGCGCGCATCTTTTGAAAAGTATTTTCCCGAAGAACACAATACAAAAATTAAAGTGAACTCCTGGATTCATAATCCTTTTTTACCCAACTTGGAAAAGCCTGAAAACATGTCAAATGAGATATATGAATCTCTTTTAGAAATGTCATCAGACACAAGTATGGAGTCATTGTTCAAAACGACGCCTCTTAATGATTTTTGGTGCAGAATCCAAGATGAATATGCAATGCTTGGCCAAATGGCTCTGGATATTCTTCTCCCGTTCCCAACTACATATTTGTGCGAAACAGGATTCTCTACCTACGCAGCCACGAAAACAAAATATCGCAATAGACTGGACGCCGAAGCTGATATGAGACTCCAACTTTCTTCCATCAAACCTGATATCAAGCAATTGATGAAAAATAAAAAACAGTTTCATACCTCCCACTAGTTAGATTTTTTCTTTTTTAATGTTTTCTATTATTGTCCTTACCAAGTGGTGAAGTAAATAATAATTAGTAACGGATACATTGTACTTTTATTATGCTGATTAATATAGAATACACTTATAAAAATAATTGTTTTATTGTAGGGTTCCATCAAGTATTTTGCTTCCCAAAAGGGTTCCGTCATTTAAAAAGTTTGAGAACCACTGTACTAGAAAGACAACCGGAGACGCGACGACGAAAATGTAAAGTGGATTTTCGAAATATTTACTCTAAACTACAGGGTATACCATAGTTCACAGACCTTGTTCTAAACTGGCTTTTGAACTATCTAAAACCATTCCATAATTTGTTTGAAAGCATTGCCTAGTGAGTATAAATTATTTTTTATAACTAGATTGGTAAGATTATAATTTAACGTTTTGATCAAAATATTAATTTATTTACAATCGATTCCTATTGAATCGATTAAATAAATAATGTGCCTTATAAATTATCGATCAAACTGAAATATCAGTAAGCTTTTATAATATGTAAAACATTAAAATATATTTTAGTGACATACAGGTGTCGATTCTGGCAGGATTCTCTAAACTGAAAACTAAATTTAACATCAGTCTGTCCTTTTCACTCTTTCAAGAGTATGATAAGGATACACTGTTGTCAAATTTAAGTTTATCTTTAGAAAATCGTCCCAGAATCGACACCACAACGTCCTTAAAATATGTTTGTTCTTTCAGATGAACATATCGTGTGGAATAGTGTGCTCGTTTCAATCAATCAATCAATACTTTATTGCGTTCTACAATGTTTTCTTAGATCTTAATAGGTACATTGCTTTGATCATTGCAGACCCTGAACAGGGCACAGCAAATAGATAAGAGGACGCGTTCACTAATTGTAATTTAGTTAGTACGTTTACAATTTACTAGACAAATACGATATTTTTTTACCCAACAAATAAAAATATATTATTATCAACAACATTTCGTTTTCCTTTCTGTCCCGAATATGTACAGATTATTTCCCAAGCTGCATATTATTCAATAAGAGCTTCCTCATTAAGTAGTTATGGCATACATTCTTTACTGAGCGGGTACACAGCTCTCTGTGCGAGGGCTGCCGAGTGCTACCGAATCATTCGACTCGCCCGTCCAGTTAACCCCGCAAACAAAACTGAAGCAAACAAAACGATACCGCACCGAAAGAGAGTCGGTCAAGAAGTAGTTTTCCATGAAGAATCTGTTTAGATTTGGTACAGAAATGAAAACGAAACGAACCGGCATCGACTTGGCGATAACGGCGCCGCACGCGGGTTTTTACTGACTGAAGACTGCGCAAAGTTGCGCTCATTGCGTTGCTCACTTCACATCCGTTATGAAGCTTAAAAAAGTTAGAAGATGAAATGTTACTCTATACCAGAGTTATGTCATAAGAGATTACTTTTTATTCCTTTGGTTGAACTTAATTTTTTATGCAAGATGCATGAAATTTCTCTACCTCACCTGATCTTGTAAAGTGAAGTTGTATGTATACATAATATGGAAGAAAATGTGACGCCTTATCTCACCATGAATAAACTCAATGCCCTACCCTTGAAGCTCTGAAACTTTACTGACCAACGGACAATCAACAATAACAAAAGCTAGTTAATCTATATATATAAAACTCAATGGTGACTGACTGACTGACATAGTGATCTATCAACACACAACCCAAACCACTGGACGGATCGGGCTGAAATTTGGCATGCAGGTACATGTTATGACGTAGGCATCCGCTAAGAAAGGATTTTGATCAATTCTATCCCCAAGGGGATAAAATAGGAAATGAAAGTTTGTATGAAACTTTGTCAATTTTAAACCGATCGGGCTGACACTTTGCATGCAGGTATAAGAAGAATCATAGATGAATGTCATTGTACAAGCCTGAGAACAAAAACTGTAGTCTACACTTCAGCTCTACACCGAAGCGAAGCGAGGGCGGGCCGCTAGTAATTCATATAACTGTGATATTCTGTAAGGTGGATATTACTCCCCAGATCGGCGATGGCCGGCTGTACCCTACCTCGTTTTAAATAAAATGTTTAATAGATTTTTTCACATTATTATCAATATTTTTTTACAACATCGAAACATTTATGTCTCAAGCAGAGTTCAATTATATTCAACTAGACTAAGAGGAGGAGCTCTATGGCGCAAGTGGTTAGCGCGTTCGTTTGCGATCGTTGAAGTTAAGCAACTTTCGCAGTGGTCGGTCATTGGATGGGTGACCAAAAATTTACTATCTCGAGCTCCTCAGTGCTTCGGAAGGCACGTTAAGCAGTTGGTCTCGGCTGCATCTGCAGTCGTTAGCACCCGCCAATCCGCACTGGGCCCGCGTGATGGACCAATCTCCCTATTGCATTCATAGGAAAGGCCTGTGCCCCAGCAGTAAGGTCATTAATAGGCTCATCGGCCTATTAATGTCTCAAATCATGATGAAAACTAGGAAAGGTAGGGCATAGCGTATTCCGATCGCGATGTATAGAAAGGACGGACGAATCTACGGTGCCTTTTCCTTGATTTATTATGTAGTTTTAGCCGGAAGCTTGAGGATCTTGCTCCTTATAATAATATTATTTTGAAACAAGCAATGAAATTACCCGAAATTTCTATCACTTTATCTATACAATATTTTCGGTTGCTTAAGATTTCTTTTTGTTATTTTTTTCCTTTTTGTTTATGTTGTTACAAATTATTAATAAAAAATCACGAGTTGTATGAATGCATGTAAAATTATGCATACATGAGCATCATCTGACATTCAAAAGTTGCTTGGTGATGTATTTCAAAATAGTAAAGTATTCAGCTAAAAAAAGAATGACCAATCATGTACGACATAATATATTAAGTACAGTATTGTGGTAATATTTACGCAGAAATACTTTTGTTTGTCTATTGATCTCATCTTTACATACACGATGTATATTGTATAAATACTCTAGCACCCATTATAGCCCCTTGGGGGAGCCCACTATTCTACATAGTTTTTAAGTTTGCCTACTCCTAATCGAAAGTCACCAAGGTTTCCCGTGCGAAACAGGGGCGAGCCGCTATAAACAATAAAATATTATACGATTAAAGCTGCTCTTTGAGTGACCGGACTTGTATTTGTCTCGCTAATATCTTTCCACAAATTGCCTTCACCTTTTACTTTTAGTGAGCTTTTAGCGTTAAAAATAATCATATCTATGAGGTTTATTACAACCTATGAAGAGTTTTACAGCTAGATTATGTCATTAATCAAATATATTTTCAAGATTAAATTTAAATTGGCTTGTGGCAATCAGATGGGTTTTATTTATTTATTCGGAACTAGTCAGTGCTATTCTGCTGGTATTAAATATAAAATATTATTATCATGTATGTGAATTATTAAATATAAGCCCATTTGTTCAAATACTTGAATTGCCACTCAGAATTGGGAATAAATTTTTGTGGACAAAAAAAAGTTCCTTTCTCTTTCAGATAAGAATTATAAAACAGATACTTAATTGCCTCTAACTCATTATTTCGTCCATATGTTACTACACTAAGTTGAAGCTTTTGATCAACAGTACTTCCGTAGCATGCAAAGCTTTTTCACCGCATCCGGGGAAAACAATTCTCCAATTCAATGTCCGTTTAAGAACCGTTCATTATTATTTCAAACGTAACCTTTGTGCACTAAAACCTTATCTGCCTCCAAGATCACTATTATTCTAGCTATAGTATTAAATGATTTAGCTCACCATTTTCAAAGCTGGTTGCACTAGCACTGCATGTTATTGTGTAACACCACACGAGGCGCGTATCTCTGCGCGCGCACAAGTTCACTATGAGCCGGCGTGCCGAGTCAGCTGATAATATATATGAGAAGGTTCTTACTGTCGTGCCATCCTGAAAGTGAAACCTTGCGTTTGTGAATTTCAATCGTATTTTTTTATTCTTCCAACACCCACTACAATCAGTTTCAAAGTAAGAACTGTAAAGATTGTGTGTTTTATAATACTAGGGTTAATAAAAAATATTTCTAGTCTTACCAATAAGCGTAATCTCTATGGTTAGAAATATGAGACACTAATATGAGTTAATAAGCAAATATTTCTAACACACACACACTGCAATAAATTACCCTGTGTTCTTAAGTAAGCACTGTAAACACAGAAATAAATAATAATAATAATCTATTTATTTCTCTCAAGAAGGGCTACATATAATAAAGTACAAAGTATAATTTGCAAATAATTGAACCTTTCCCGAGACTGAATAAATAAATACTTAAAACTTGTGTTATGGGATACTAGGACAGCGATTTGAAATAAATATAATGATACATATAAACGTATCTTTTTTCCAGAGATATGTGTAAATAGGAATGAATGACATGTTTCTGTTGGTGATTAAGATTCCAGGGCATCAAGGGGTAAGGGATTAAGTCAGGGTAGGCAGTGGTTTGAGTAATTTTTTTGGTATCGCAAACTTCTGACTATTACAATACAATACAATACAAAACACTTTATTGCACACCACAGAAAACATTACAATAAATACATAGCCATTTAAATCAAGTGTTTCAATGGGCGGCCTTATCGCTAAAAGCGATCTCTTGCAGACAACCTTTTATACTACTTACTGCTGTGGCTGCTTACCATCAGGAGATCCATACCATATACAGGTATTCCACCTAGTTAAGAATAGAATAGAATACTCTTTATTTGCATTAAATAGCGTTGACAATAGGAGTTTGAATATAAAGCTTAAATGTTAAAGCTAAGAATCTTAAACCTATCTAGCCATATTATTAGCATGCAAAAAATTAGTCGTGAGAGACTTGGTTTTTTGAAGTCACACTTCTTTTCGAATAAGGTAAATGGAAATATTCTATGGAAAAAAATGTAACGTAAAATATTTAATTCCTATTATGTAATATATATATAGCCTAGGCCAAACTAGTTGATCCTGATACAAATACGCATACTCTAGGATAAACTAGTATGGCCTAGTCTAAACCAATTTAGCAGAGTCGAAAGTAATTGAACAAACATGTCAGGACTTGTACTTGGTTTATCCTATCGGGCTTAGGACAAATTATTTTGGACTAGGCTATACTAGTTAATTCTATCGCGTATAGGAAGAACTAGTTTAGCCTAGGCAAAACTAGTTTGTCCTGAAATCGGGTTTGGCCGGTAATATATCTATGCCTATAATATATATATATATATTATTTTTTATATTTGTTGTTGAGATATATAGAAAGAACGGACGACTACGGTGCCTTTTCCTTGAATTATTATTAGTAAGCAGAAAGCTTCAGAATCTTGCTCCTTATAATAATATTATTTTGAAACAAGGTATGAATTTACTCGGACTTTCTATCACTTTATCTAAATAATCTGTACGCTTGGTTGCGATTTTTTTTTTGTTTTTTTTTTCTTATTACTGATTGTTAAAAAATTCACGAGTTGTGTGTATGCATATAAAAAGTTTGATTATGCACACATCAGCATCATCTGACATTATAAATATAAATATATATATATATATACAAGGTGTATAAAAACATATATATAGTTTATATATATGTTTGTGTGTGTTCGTGTGCGTGTGTTTGTGTGGGATGCGTGCGCAGCTTTTCCCGATGAGCATGAACGTTGGAGTGTAATTCAGCGAAGGCTGAAACCGCTTGATAACAATTAAACGTAATTATTATTTACGAAAAGAAATTTCACTTCAGATGTGTGGTCCGTGCACACTGTGTTTGTGATCTAATCTATATATATAAAACTCAAAGGTGACTGACTGGCATAGTGATCTATCAACGCACAGCCCAAACCACTGGACGGATCGGGCTGAAATTTGGCATGCAGGCAGATGTTATGACGCAGGCATCCGCTAAGAAAGGATTTTGATCAATTCTACCCCGAAGCGAAGCGAGGGCGGGCCACTAGCCATAAATAAAGTAATTGTATACTAGTATTAGAGCTAGGTTCGACAACAACAAACGATCTAATTCTACGTACCTATTTAATCTTTTATAGTCATACGGGATGTGATGTTAACGTGTAAATGATAATCTGTAGTCGTTAGCATCCGCCAATCCGCACTGGGTCCGCGTGGTGGGTCATGGCCCAATCTCCCTATTCCATCCATAGGGAAGGCCTGTGCCCCAGCAGTGGGGACATTAATAGGCTGATGATGATGATGACATAATTATTAAACATCCATGACTGGAGTACTAATGCTCGTATTTATCACACCAACAACCTCCCCTTACCGGGATTTGAACCCTGGACCTTTCGAGTTGGCGACACCATGAAACCCGGCGTACATACCACTCGGCCACGGATTTTAGGGCGGGGGATGTGTTAGGTTTATATATAGCACAAAGACGGCTAAACCTAACACATCACCTATTTTACCATTCTGCGTCCCGTCTGGTAATTTGGTGAATGGTCTGGGGAGCGAGCGCATGTCGTGTAGATCCCCCAGACAAGCCTGGCTGTTTTCCTTCACGTGGTTGCCGCCCGTTATTGGTCTGATTCCCTATGAAACAGACGTAACTGAAATGGTCAGACGACTTTCCCCCCCCATCCACCAGGAGTAGGGAGGCGGCCTGGTGGTGCGTCAGCCTCTCCTGCGCTAGGACCTGCGCAGCATCGCCGTAAGCAGGGATGAAGGGATCCTGGTGTTTGAGCGGAAAGGGTAGCTGCGGCACCCCGGAAGCAACACAGCACTTTGGCCCGGATTTCCAGCGAGACGGTAACTTCGTGGTGTAGCCGACCACGAGGCAACGGTCAAGGCGTCTACCGTCTATGGGTCGCCGGCGAGGGGTGTGGGGGTCGCTCTTAACATCTAGCGATGGACTCTGGCCATGCTGAAGGAGCAAGGTTGCATGGAACCACTGGTAGTTGGGATCGACTACCAGCCATGCAGCTGCAGTTCCCGATGTCGCGCTGTGAGGAAAACCCTGTGCCCCTATATCCTCACCACAATCCTGGTGCCTTGATTTTTGATATCGGCATCCCAGTTGTGGCTCCGTGGCGGGTGGGACTGGTGAGGATGAACTTTTTTGAGACACGTGTAATGGAAACCAACAGATCCCATACAAAAACCAACAAGGACATGACATCGTCTGGAGACCTGGTGAAGGGGAAACCCGGTGACAGGCAGACGAATATAACAGACAAAGAGTCGGTATACCTGGTGAAGGGGAAACCCGGTGTCAGGCCGACCAACACTGACCTAGACCTAGACGTACCATCTACGTCCCGTGCGTTGGAAGCCTTGGTGAAGGGGCAACCCGGTGTCAGGCAACAACCACAGGACGTGGCTGGTGACTTGGACTCCTGGCAGGTCGCTACCTATCGACGTAAGAATCGGAAGGCAGTGGACAAGACTGGGAATCCAAACAATGACAAACACAAAACGACAACCGCCCGGCACAGACTCGGACAGAGGGCTAGGAAGGCCCGTAACAAAACAGCAGCTGGCAAGGCCGCCCAGCAGATTGTTACGGGTCAAGGAACCCAGGATAAGGTACAGACAGACAGACCGACAGCTAAAGGACAGACGGACAGACAAACCGACAAAGGACAGACGGACAGACAAGAGGCCTCGAAAAGGCCCAGACTGGACGACACGGTCTCACCGAGGGGTCAATATAAAAAACCAAGATCCGAGGGGCCGCGTCGAACAACGGACAAAAAATCCTTCGCGGATGCTGCTACAGCCGACTTGCTCGTAGTAATTACGGGCAAAAAGACAGGCCACATCAGCGCTGCCCATGCTGGGTTTGTCCTTAAGGCTCTGGAGGACGCCGTTGTTGAGGAACTCCTTATGGCAGGACCTTCAACGGACGAAGGCCCGAACCTTAAGGGCAAGCCCATTATTGGAGACGGAGCTCTCAGCCTCTGGTGTGAGACTCCCCGCACGCTGGAGTGGGTAAAAAAGACCGTAGCTGGCCTAAAGGTCCCGGGGTATGACGACGAACTGATGGTGCAGCGCCAAATTGATAGGCCGAAGAAGGTGGTGTGTGGTCTTTTTGTCCCGGGTACGAGGGAACCACATACGATAGCCAAGCTGCTGCGCTATCAGAATAAACAAGCAGACGTCGACCGATGGTTACTGCATAAGGCCATCGCAGGTGATGACAACACGTTCCTGGTGTTCAGCACCACCAGGGACGTTGCAGAGAAGCTTCTGGAGAGAGGAAGGAGACTGTGCTACCTGATGGGTTCGGTGTACGTTAGGTTCAGGAACCAGGGCGGTCAATACCTGGAGAGCCTGCCGCCTTTAGAGTCACCAACATCTGCTCCGTCGCCGAGCACATCAGGGGGCATAGCAGCATCCACGCCCGACCAGAAGCAGGTGACAGTGACTCCGTCTCCGGCGGATCCCACTTTGGGTGAGCAAGGAGCAGCGGACGTCATCGACGAATGGGCAGACAAACTGGGTGGAATCGACATCGGGCAGGAGGTGGATGTCGATGTTTTGCTTGCGTCCGATGGCGCCTCCACCGAGTAAAGTCAAAGTCCTGCAGACCAACCTCCAGCACAGTCGCACCGCAACGGCTCAACTCAGGAAGTGGCTGGAGGACAACAACGACGGGGCTATTGCTCTGGTCCAGGAGCCGTGGATCAGATCCAACATCATATGTGGCCTCAACAACACCGGTGGTAAGAATATTTACAACCCAGGTAACCGCTCACCGCGGACCTGCATAGTATGTTCAAAACACCTACAGGCAAAAATAATGACACAATTTTGTTCTAGCGACATAACAACAATCCAAATTATACAACAGCAAAATCCAAGTGTACCTGTCCTGGTAGTTGCCTCTGCCTACATGCCTGAAGGAGAGGAAGCTCCGTCAGGGGAACTGGCTGAGCTGGTGAGACACTGCGAACAAACAGACAAGGCGCTGATCATTGGCACCGACTCCAACGCCCAC